GGTGGTGTAGAAAAACGAAAAAACAGAAATTTGAAATTACAAAAAAAATACAAAAAAAAAATTGCTAGGGGTGTAGGGTGAGTGGTGACGGAAAAAAAATAATTTTTTTTTTAAAAAAAAGCAATTTTGGAGAGAGGGGATGGGGTCAGGTGGGCGGGTGTGAGGGTATGGGGTGGGTGGGGAAGGTTGAAAAGGAGTTTTGGAAAATATTTTTCCTTCTAAACATTTTCCTCCAATTGGAGAAAAATAAATTAATAAAGAAAATATTTTTCAAAACATTTAAGTCAACCAAACATTAAAAAATTGGATTCATACCAAACACACCCTTAGTCTATTTCCCCAATCCCCCTCCCTCTTTTTGTCCTCTTCCCATACCCCCTCCCGCTGTGCTTGTAATATGTTGTTTGTGGGAGATATATTCTTCAACTCTTGACTCCCTGTCAACATTATATGCCAAACGTTGCAATTCAGTGTTAGTGAATTCATTATTTAGAAAGCTTTTCCCCTGCTGTCAATGGTATGAACTTTGCTTTTATTGGATGCCCCTGAGGGGACGTATGTACTCTGGTTTTTAGTCACTTGCTTTGCAATAATACTGATTCATTCCTGCCCCTATGAATGGTTTAACATGCATTGGATAGATTACTAAGAGGAAATAATTTCTGCTCAATGTATTCAGTAGCTCGCACCATTTCTTGGTGATTATTTTTTGTTGACTATATACACTGATATATGTAGTGCAATTTTCTCACAAGACAACCAGTAGAGAGCATCATTGATGGAACAGTATTAGTGCACTAATGCTTATCCTTCAACTTTTCATCATTTTGGCTGACATTTCTTGTTTGTTGTTATCTTTGTTCAAGCGTGCACATGTTTCCTTCTTAAAATTCTGCCAAAGATTTCAGCAGTAGAAAGTTTGGATCATTTCTTCTTGCTTTAAATCAATCTCTCCCTGTCATTGAGGATATGCAAAACAAATGGTCATCCTTTAAAAAAGACCCAGAAAAAAATATACAAATTGAGGAGATTCTGGGTAAGACCAAGAACAAAAGGGGGCAGGGGGTCTAAGGAAGAACATGAACAGAGGGAGGGGGCGGGTATGGGAAGAAGACTGAAAAAGGGGGAGGGGGTTTGGGGAAATAGAACAAGTTGTGTTATTTTGTTGATTTCCCTTTCTTTGTGTGAGAGAAGAAGGAGATTAGGGTCGGGTATGGGTTAAATTAGTGGATGGATTTGCAAAAGAAATCGGGTATTTAAAATTGAGGTGAGTTATTTATTTCTGATCTTGTCACGTATCCTTCCGTCTAAATTAAAGGTAAATTAGTGCTTATAGTATAACCGTAAGAGTATAATTGAACCGATACTCAAAGAATGATATATTTTAACTAATTCGACTAATACAGGAATGTATTTAATCATTTTCGGTTATAGTAAAGTGTTATGTTTTGAAATGATGAGAATTGAAGATAATAATTCTGAAAAGTGAGATGGAATTGCTATTGAAATATCTAAGACATTAAAAACAAAGCTCTAATATTAAGCTGATTCCTCCCGTTGTGTCAGTCTTATAGCCAGTATAATCATACCAAATGACAGATGGAAAGATGTTCTTGTATTTGAATTATCAGCAAGGCCACACGAAAACCAAAACAACTGGTGTCTTTCTTGGATATGCCCATTGCCAGTATATATGCTATAAAGTGAAATTCAAGAAAGCCAATGTATCCTTAATGCTCTTTATAACACAATCACCTTATATTTTTCTTAACCTAGCTAACTAATCAGCCTGGGAAAGAATGATTATGCAGATGTACATAAGGGGGGTCGGCAAATAATAAGAGCATTTGTCATTCTTTCTTGGCAGAATACATAATTTAACCCCGAAACTATGGACATGTATGGACCAAATTCCTATATCACACCTTCAGAAAACAAAAATTACCTTACACAATCTTTTTTGCGTGTATTTAATACAAACTACTTTTACACTCGTGATTTACACGCATAAGAGGCGAGTGAAGAGTTAAAATTTTGTATCTAAAGCGCCATTTGAAAAACATTTGTGCGAATTTTTCATTTTCTATTTTTTTTATTCTCTAAAAGGATTTCATCAATTCTTTCCCATGTTCTTCCATCACAACACCACAACCACCCCACCAATATTTTTCCGTAAGATCTAAAGGGGAACGAGAAAATACAAAGAACCAGAGTTTCCATATTTGAACACCAATTTATTTTGGTTATGACTCGTGATTCAAATTCTCCAAATTGACAATTATTTTTGAGATTTAGATTTTGTTAACTTCTTGAAATAATAAGGAATGTGATGTAATCCCAAATAGATGCTCTTTTTCAGTTTTGATAAACTAGATACAGATTAATCCCAATCGGTGTTTTTTTTCCTCTCTCTAACAACCTTAATATGCAATCTTTTTTGTGAAGTCTTATTTATATATGGCAATGACGACGACCTTGTCTATGATCTCATAAACTGGAAGAGACACCACCAGTTTTCAAAACTATAGTACAGACAAATCTGAGTTTTATAATTAAATGAGTGGAATGTTGAATGTGAGAAAAAAGTGGTCAAACACTAAAGAGGCATGTACTATTTATCATGCCTTCTTTCTTAATATATCAACTTGAGTGATAAGGATAAAATTCTCAAATATCCCGAAGATAATTCACCTATGGGTACACATGAAAAACCGTTGAAACAGATAGGTAAACCGTTGTCATAGAGATATTGCAACGGTTCAGCGCCCGTTCCACAAGCTCGCGTGCCTATAGAGCTTAAGGAACGATTTTTGGAACGGTTCAGATAACCGTTGCTATAGCATAGTCTATCACAACGTTTTTTCTCTTCCTGTTGGAACGATTATTCTTATCAACTGCAACGGTTAAATTCTGTTACCATAACGTTTAATGCAACGGTAAATAACCGTTATTATATCTATTAAACCGTTACGGCTATTATAGAAATGGCAACGATTTCTTTAAGATATTGCAATGATTGAACTACCTATTGCAACGGTTTTTAGATTATTTTGAAACGGTTTGAAGGTCCTATGGCAACGGTTTTGTTAGCTATTATAAAGGTTTAATTGAATTGAAAATATTGCCCTTGTTGTAAATAAAGATTTTTTTTTATATATATATATATATATATATATATATATACAATAAACTATAAAACACTAAAATTTATATAAATAACAAAATGAACTATTCATAATCGAAATTTTCCAACAAGCTAATAAATCCATAGAAGTGATGAAATGTTACCAAGTACATACATTTGATATTTCAAGAGTTAAAAGTTTTAAAATGTTAATAACAAACATTCCTAGAAACCGCCACATGCATCTATAGCAATTCAAAATTCTCTTAAGTAAGGTCTAGATCTTCATCACTGCCTCTGTCTTCCATTTCATCATATACTCCACCTACAAAGGAGTATAAATAAAGTCATTATCCCTTCAAGAGAATCCGATCTAAAAATTCTCTTAGTCCAAAAAACCAAGGATAAAAAGAAAGTATAAAATTCTGCATTAAATCCCAAAATTGGATGGCAAAATAGTGGTTTATCCCATAATATATGGACAAAGATATTCTGGAGATCAAGGCATGAGCAACACATAAAAATATACTCTCAAGAATGCAAAATTCTAAAAAATAGTTCACAAGAAGTACAAAAAGACACACGTACTCTACCACACGCCAATTAATGAGGCAAATAACTAAATCAACTTAACAAGTAATTTAGAACTCAACTTAACAGATCCGTGAAGAGGAAAGATAGTAAAGATTACACGTTTCATTAGGAAAGAACCAAGAATCTCCTATAGACATATTCAGAACCCATCTCTTGATTGTTCAACGCTACTTGTTAGATTCTAAACTGTTATAACCCAAATTCGCGTACCTTAGATCACGTCGTAAGTTAGTCGACGTAAATCCAAGAAGAGATTATCTTTGAGATGATAAGAAGTTAATCCTATTGGTCTTAAACGATACAAGGGTGTATAAGAGTGGTTAACAAGTATTTGAAGTTAAACGAATCAAGGATGTTATAACCCGTATTTTCGGGTAACACTAGAGGTGATTAATTGTCCCAAGAGGTCTTGTTTTAATGTATTTGAATCATATAATATCCGCATCATAAGTCTTGAAGTCAAGCGAGTTATGAAACAAAAGTCGATAAAAGTTGTCGCAACTTAGGTTTATAATTTTACTTAAACTTTAGGTCAAATGTTACTGCATTTTTCTCCCAATGTGCTTGGAATTATGGGGTGATCTACCTATCAAATTGAATATCTATGAGTCTAGTTTGCAACGCATTAAACCGTTTGCCGATACGATCTCGGAATAGAGAGATCTTCGCGTTTTCGCGAGAGTGCATNACGTTTTACCGAGCCTATTACGGCCGGGTACGATATGATGATGGTGATGCCCACAAAGGCATATATTTTAAAAGTTTATGTATATATATGTATGTATCATGTATTTCATGTCAGTAGCCCTCAGAGGTACCCAGATGTCACAGGTTGTATATTCNTCTCTCAAGGTTCTCTCATGATCCAAGACCCAAACAAAGGGCAAACAACACAAATCAAATGTCGGGAATCCCGTGGCGCTAGTAAGTTTCTTGTTCTTCTTGTTATTGCTGATTTTTGTGTTGTTCCAGCTCATGTGGGAGGTTGTTTTAAGTGTTNGCTGCATGTCGTGCTGCAGGTCCTGATAGACGGGTAGACGTAGCTCCCCCACCACAGTAGGCTGTCCAGTTCAGCGGTTATTGGCGAGATCCCTTCTCCGGACTTGCCGTGGTCTTGGTATGCATTTTTGTTATAGACATTATGGGTATGTCGGGGCCCTGTTCCGGCAATGTTGTAGCACTTATGTTCTTTTAGAGGCTCATAGACAGGTGTCGACTCATGGTAGCTCGTACCTTATATATAGTTTCTTAACAGTCTTGTCGTCCCATGTTATGTATGTTCATGACATTATCTTTCATTGTTGGATGTTCATGATCCATGTCTACCATTTATATTGATCTTGTCGGCCCTTAAAGATAATAAGGAAGGTTAGATAAAATGTACGTTGGTGCTCGGCAAGTATGGTCCGGGTGCTAGTCATGACCCTCCAGTTGGGTCGTGACATAAACAACAATATATATAGCTAAAAAGTCTGTGCATTGCCTCTTCTCCCCAATGATTAACCTTTTATAATCAAAGTGCAGTTTAAAGTTTTGATCTTGGACCTTTCTTCAAACACAGCTATAGAAATCAGCTTCCTAAAGCTGCTGCAAAATGCAGCAAAACAGCTGCAAAAATACCATAAAATACAGCAAAACAGATGCAAATAGAAAACAGCTTCCTCAAGCTGCTGTAAAATGCAGCAAAACAACTACAAAAATCACCCAAAAATGCAGCAAAACAGATGCAAATATTGCCCAAAAATGCAGCAAAACAGCTATAGAAATCACCTTCCCAAAGCTTCTGCAAAATTCAGCAATTCTACTTCCAAAACCAACCCAAAAATACGGCAAATCCCAGCAGAGAAGCCAGCTGAAAACCAGCGTGAACCCCATCTCCAATCGACCCTGAAACAACTCCAAAACTCAGCCAAAACTCCCTTAAAATGACTTCACAAACAACCCCTCTTTCTCCACCATAAATATCCTTTAAAACTAGTAAAACATTGCTAGAAAGAGAGAGAGCGAGAGAGCGCACAGTGTGTGATGACCCAAAATATCATCGTTAAATTTAATAAGTAATTTTGTGTTCTAAGACCTCAAAAAGTACTAATTATTATTCCTCGACTTGCGTGCGCAGTCCGTAAAATTTTCCAAAAAGTTTTTATGTGAAAATGGATTAAAATGTTGTGATGACCCAAAATGTCATCTTTAAATTTAATAAGTAATTCTGTATTCTAAGATCTCAAAAAGCACCATTTATTATTCTTCGACCTGTGTGCGCAGTCCGTACAATTTTCTGGAAAGCTTTTATGTGAAAAATGGATTAGAATGTAAAATAGAGCTTTAAAACTCAACTAAGTTGACTTTGGTCAATATTTTGTGCAAACGGACCTGGATCAGTATTTTGACAATTCTGATAGGTGTGTATCGTGATTTGGGACTTGGACGTATGCCCAGAATCGAATTCCGAGGTCCCTAGCCCGAGATATGGAATTTTGATGAAATATTAAAAGCTTGAAAGCTTAATGATTTCTAAGAAATTACTGATGTTGGATTTATTGACCTCGGGTCCGTATTTTGGTTCCAGAGACAGGTATAGGTCCACTATAATTTTATGACTTGTCTGCCGAATTTAGTGAGAATCAGAGTTGATTTGACGTGATTCGGACGTCCGATTGTAAACATATATAAGTTTTAAAGTTTTCTTGAAAACTTCCTTTGATTTGGTGTCTGATTCGTAGTTCTAGGTGTTATTTTGGCGATTTGATCGCGCGAACAAGTTTGTATGATGTTTTAGGACTTGTGTGCATGTTTGGTTTGGACCCCGAGGGCTCGAGTGAGTTTCGAATAGGCTACGGGATATTTTGGACTTTGAAAATCTGGTATTTTGGTGCAGCAAGTGTTCTGGCATGTCCTTCTCCGCGTTCGCGAAGGTACTCTCGCGAATGCGAAGAGTAAACTGGGCAGCTGAAGTTTTCTTCTTCGCAAACACGAAGGTTTGGTTGCGAACGCGAAGCGATGGGGGAATTACCCTTCGCGAACGTGACAAGCTCCTCGCGAACGCGTAGCGTTAGGCACACCTGGGGGAGGGTTGATCATTCCTTCATCGCGAACGCGAGCAATGCCTTGTGAACGCGAAGGACAGAGGGGGAAAGCTTTCGTGAACGTGAAGGAGGACTCGCAAACGCGAAAGCCACGGACTGCTACTCATCGCGAACGCGACAGGCCCTTCGCGAACGCGAAGAAGGCCTGACCCCTGTGACTTAAAACATAACCAAAACGGGATTTTTCCCATTTTTCACAAACCCTCAATTATAACTCGGCTTAGGGGCGATTTCAAAGGAGTTTTTTACGATTTCGAATTGGCTAAGTATTCTTTATCATATAGTGATTGTATTTCATAAATCTAAGCCTATATTCATCTTTTATTTCGGATTTAGATGGAAGAAATTGGAATTTTTGTAAAACTTTCCAAAAACGAAAAATTTAGATTTGAAGGTCCATTTGATATCGGAATTGGAAAAATTTTATATGGTTGAACTCGTATCGGAACGAGTGTTCATATTTCGTGAGTTTTTCCAGAATTTGAGACGTGGGTCACACTTCTGAATATTTTAATAAATTTTGGATTTTTATCCGGAAAATTTGTAAATTCATATGGAATTAATTCCTATGATTCGTATTGAATATATCGAATTGTTTGTGAATAGATTTGAAGCTTTCGGAGGCAAATTTAAAAGGAAAACCTGTGGTTGAATAATTGATTGGAGTTTGCAAAGCGAGGTAAGTGTCGGGGTTAACCTTAACTTGAGGGAATAGAACCCTTATATTATTTGTTATGTGAATTGCATGTGAACGATGTATAGGCGATGTGACGAGTGTCTATACGTCGTCAAATTAATTGTTTACCTGCTTACTTGAAAAATTATAAATTAATTTTAATCATAAATTAATTATTATAATAATTATTTATCTCTTATTCTTTGTCAAATATTAATTCTTGAATTCCTGAATTAATTGTTACATGATATTTGAATTATGTATTTTAATTGTTATTTGACATTTAGCATAGTAAATATTAAACTGTCTATTTTCTCCCTGATTTCTATAATAATTTGCTATTTATCATTGTTTGTTTCATAATTAAATCATAATTGTTGTATGCTTGTTGTCTTATGATTATATATTAATTGTTGCATTTATTGAGGAATTTCTTCTATAAGAATTGATTGAAATGGAAATATTGGAGGATCGGGTTGCACGCCGCAACAGACTTATTAAAAGTTAATATTGGAGGATCGGGTTGCGCGCCCCAACATACTTATTAAAAGTTAATATTGGAGGATCGGGATGCACGCCGCAATTGACTTATTAAAAAGTCAATATTGGAGGATCGGGTTGCACGCCGCAACAGACTTATTAAAAAGTCAATATTGGGAGATCGGGTTGCACGCCGTAATAGACTTATTTAAAAGTTTATATATATATATATATATATATGATTGAAATAAATACATGACAGACTTGATTAAAAGGAATATATTGGGAGAGCGGGTTGCACGCTGCAACAAAATTGAATGTGAATATATTGTGAGAGCGGGTTTCACGCTGCAATAGAATTTGTTGAAATAATAATAGATTATGACTGCTGAGTTGGCTTCAATTATTATAAATGAGTTACCTGATTTATTTCTATTATTTGTTGTTGTTATCAATATTGCGTACTGGTTAATGTAAGTGAACCGTCTTAGCCTCGTCACTACTTCGTCGATGTTAGGCTCAGCACTTACTAGTACATGGGGTCGGTTGTACTGATACTACACTCTGCATTTCTTGTGCACATTTTGGAGTTGGTCCCAGCGGCGTACCATAGACTTGCTCGGATTTCAGCTACCAGAGGAGACTTGAGGTATAACTGCATGGCGTCCGCAGTTCTGAAGTCCCTGTCTATTTTACGTTAGCTGTGTATTTATTTCCAAACAGTTTTATTTATTCAGAACTTTATTTGTATTTATTCTAGAATCTTGTGCACTTGTGACACCAATTCTGGGATGGTATTTAGACACTGTTATTTTTATGGATTATTTTACTATATTTCAAACTTTGCTTCCGCTTTTATTTTCTTGATTCTTAATAATTTAGAGATTGTTTAAAACTTAGTTAATATTATTCTAACGTTGGCTTGCCTAACAAGTAAAATATTAGGTGCCATCACGGTCCGAAGGTGGGAATTTCGGGTTGTGACAAATGTGAAATAGAGCCTTAAAACTCAACTGAGTTGACTTTGGTCAACGTTTTTAGCAAATGAACCCGGATCAGGGTTTTGATAGTTCCGGTAGCTTCATATCGTGATTTGGGACTTGAGCGTATGCCCGAATTTAATTTGGAGGTCCCTAGCTCAAGTTATGACCATTTAACGGAAACTAGTAATTTAAAGGCTAAAGATTTCGAAGTTTGACCATGGGGTTGACTTTTTGATATCGGAACCGGAATCTGATTCTGGAAAATGGAATAGCTTTGTTATGTCATTTATGACTTGTGTGCCAAATTTGAAGTCATTCCGGATTCATTTAATATGTTTTGGCACGAGATTTGCAAATTGAAAAGTTTAAAACTCAAAGTTCGAATCGAGGTGTGAATTGCAATTTCGATGTTATTTGACGTGATTTTAGACCCCGAGTAAGTCCGTATTGTATTAAGGGACTTGTTGGTATATTCGGACGGGGTCCCGAGTACCCCGAGTGTGATTCAAATCGAAATCGGAATAAGAATTGGACTTAAGCAAAAATCTGAAATTTGGCCTTCTGGAGTAATCGCACTTGCGGATTTTTGACCGCAGGTGCGAACTCGCAGAAGCGAGCCTTCAATCGCAGATGCGCCCGAGCGGAAACCTGCACGCACCCGCGCGTCCGCAGAAGCGGACACAATAATCGCATAAGCGGAGGTGCGCATTTTTCCTCTGCATGTGCGAGGCCTCGCCTGACAGCCCCATTTCGCAGATGCGAGCTCGCATGTGCGAGCCCAGGCACCGCAGGTGCGAAAATGCCTGGGCAGTGTATATATCGAAGAGTCCGATATTATTTTTATATTTTGGTCGTTTTGAGCTCGGTTAAGGAAAAATTTTGGGCGATTTTCACGAAAAATATTGGGTAAGTGTTCCTTATCCTATATTGATTATATTTCATGATTCCATACTCGTTTATATCATGAATTCGTGAATTTATGGAAGAAAAATTAGATTTTTCTAAAATCTTCCAAAAACGAGAAATTTAGATTTGAAGGTCCATTTGATATCAGAATTGGATAATATTTGTATGGTTGAATTCATAGAGGAACGGGTATTCGGATTTCGTGAGTGTTTCCGGGATTTGAGACGTGGGTCCCACTATTGAATATTTTAATGAATTTCAGATTTTTATCCGAAAAATTAGTAAATTCATATGGAATTAATTCCTATGATTTGTATTGAGTATATTGAATTGTTTATGAATAGATTTGAAGCTTTTGGAGACAAATTTAAAAGGAAAAGCCGTGGTCGAATAATTGATTGGAATTTACAAAGCGAGGTAAATGTCGTGGTTAACCTTGACTTGAGGGAATAGAACCCTTAAATTATTTATTATGTGAATTGCATGTGAACGACGTATAGGCAAGGTGATGAGCGTCTATACGTCGTCAAATTAGTTGTTTGTCTGCTTACTTGAAAAATCATAAATTATTTTAAATCATGAATTAATTATTATAATAATTGTTTCTCTCTTATTCTTTGTCAAATATTAATTCTTGAATTTCTGCATTAATTGTTACATGCTATTTGAATTATGTGCCTTAATTGTTATTTGACATTTACCATATTAAATATTAAACTGTATATTTTCTCTCTGATTTCCATAATAATTTGTTATTTGTCTTTGTTTGTTTCATAATTAAATCATAAATATTGTATACTTGTTGTCTTATAATTTTATATTAATTATTGTATTTATTGGGGAAATTTCTTCTATAAGAATTGGTAAATTAAAATGTTGGAGGAGCGGGTTGCACGCCGCAATAAAATTAATTATAATGAATATATTGGAGAAGCGGGTTGCACGCCGCAACATAATTAATTATAATGAATATATTGGAGGATCGGGTTGCACGCCGCAACATAATTAATTATAATGAATATATTGGAGGATCGGGTTGCACGCCGTAACATAATTAATTAAAATGAATATATTGGAGGATCGGGTTGCACACCGCAACAGACTTATTAAAAAGTCCATATTTGAGGATCGGGTTGCACGCCGCAACAGACTTATTAAAAATCCATATTGGAGGATCGGGTTGCACGCCGCAACAAACTTGATTAAAATGAATATATTGGAGGAGCGGGTTGCACGCCACAACAGAATTGAATGTGAATATATTGTGAGAGCGGGTTGCACGTCGCAACAGAATTGATGGAAATGATAATTGGTTATGACTGCTGAGTTGGCTTCAATTATTATAAATGAGTTACTTGATTTATTTCTATTATTATTGTTGTTACTAATATTGCATACAGATAATGTAAGTGACCCGACTTAGCCTAGTCACTACTTCGTCGAGGTTAGGCTCAGCACTTACCAGTACATGGGGTCGGTTGTACTGATACTACACTCTGCACTTCTTGTGCAGATTTTGGAGTTGGTCCCAGCGGCGTACCATAGACTTGCTCGGATTTCAGCTACTAGAGGAGACTTGAGGTATAACTGCACTGCGTCCGCAGTTTCTGAAGTCCCCATCTACTTTACTTTAGCTGTGTGTTTATTTTCAGGCAGCTTTATTTTATTCAGACTCTTATTTGTATTATTCTAGAAGCTCGTGCACTTGTGACACCAATTCTGTGATGGTATTTAGACACTGTTATTTTTATGGATTATGCACTATATTTTAGACTTTACTTCCGCATTTGTTCTTTGTTATTAATAAATTTAAAAATTATTTAAAAAAATAGATAATATTATTCTAGCGTTAGCTTGCCTAACAAGTGAAAATGTTAGGCATCATCACGGTCCAAAGGTGAGAATTTCGGGCCGTGACACAGTGGTAGAGAAGCAACATAAAAAAGAGGAGAAGAAGAGGAAAGAGAAGACGTGTAACATTTGATACGGACTAACCTTGATTGTTACTGCCAGTAGATGGACGATTGATTGGTTGAATAACAACTTGTGCAGAAAAAGCTTCTCCAAGTGTACGAGCATTGAATATTAGCATGCCAGGATCAAGTCTCAAATCGGGGTTGATACGTTGAAGTCGTATAACGACGTTCATCATAATATCTTGTTCCATAGCTTCCTTTTGTGCATTGAACTTTTCCAGCATTCTTTGTTGCATCCTCTCTTCCATTTTCTCTATTTTTTTATTGCATTCTCTCATCAGTAGCATTTACAGAGGATCCAAAATCTTTCATTTTTTTTAAGACAGTCTTGTTAACTCCTCGTCCATACAATCTTACCCGACCTGGGTGCTCAGGTCCCATGACTGATGCAAACACGTCAACTGAATCACTGCCATCTTCACTTTCTTGAGTTGATTGTATTCTCTCCATTTCATCCTACAAACCAAATGCAAGAGAAAAAAGTTTAAGTAAATAAAACTAAGTTAATAATTAAGAACAAATAAATAATCACGACAAACTTTAAATTAGAAATTTCTTATAATTTTACTAATTATATTCTCATAAGAGCCTTTGTATACTCGACCAGGCTTTCTTTTTCTTGTAGCCACAAAGATATCCTTACTTGATAGAGTATCTGAAGTATCAATCATTTCCTTCTTTTTTTCCTAGTCACATGAAAACTGGTATAAGAATCTTTTTATGCAAAGTTAGCAAGTTCATACTTTAAGAAAAAAAAGAGAAAAAATCAAACCTCGATGATTAGAGTAGAACTTGTTTTGCCAGCAGTGTGTGGATGCTTCAACTTTTTTCGATTCTCGATATTGATTTCGGATGTTTTCTGCAAATAAACAAGCAATTAGTGTCAACTATTGTTTCTGGAAAGCTTTAAAAAGCACATTTTTCTAATAGATTTCAATATCTGTGTGAGATTGCAAAGTTAATTACACAATTCACTTTTCTCTATGAAAAGAAAATTTGACACCTAAAGGATAAGATCTCCTAGCCCTAGGTTGATGTTGAGCGGAAATTGGAGATATGATATTTAATTTCACATCCAAGGCTGAATATTTAGAACGTGAACAACATAATATATTGGTTCAACAAAAGATAAATACAAAATATTATTGATAGGTCTAATACTGTATTAAGAAAATAAATCATAGATCTAATTTAACTGCAAAAATAATTATGTTTCACACGACTGTTCCTACAAATGATTATGTATTAAAAATAATGAAAACATTGATGTTTATAGCTTGTACTGATGTATCTAGATTTTCTACTCTATCTTGGTGATGTAATCAAGAAGAGAAATAGTGTAAAAAACATGAAAATATTTTAATAGTACTACAATATTTAGTGCAAGGAAGGATGATATAATAAATTAAGAAGGTATTTATATTTAATTAGAGAATAAAGTAGAGTTGATGTGTGAAGGAACTCAACGGCGTAAATGCTAAACGACAACAAAGAAGCCTATAAAAAGCAATATACTTTCCAAAAAGAGCTTCAAAAACCTGAAAGTTCCTTTATAGTAGCAGCTGGGAAGATTCATAACTGAAGCTGCATATACTGCTATATAACACTGTTATTACTATTACTACTTATCTTATTTCAGCAACAGAGCCTATTGTGAGCCAGAGAGAAACGAGAAGAAAACAGAAATTATCTATGTCTATCCTAAAGTGGAAAACGCATAGCATTCTATGGGTACATAGGATCAAACGTAAAGCAGCACTTGGAGTTTTTTCTTTTTCTTGTTCCCCCAATCTTGGATGCACTTATTATTCTTAAATTTTTAGCCAAAGAAAATCTTATCCTGAAAATAAAAAAAATCACTTTTTAAAAATTTAACATAATTTTCCACAAGCAAATAGATTTTGGTAGCAAAAAAGATACAAAAAGAAAGGAATTAAGGAGAACAAGAAAAGAACAATATTACGTGGAGTGTACCTAGAAAGAAAGATATGGAGTAGTATATACTTTAAAGCTGATGATTCAGCTAAAGCGCAGATAAGCTAATGAATTAGGAGTTCTAATCTTTTAGCTTTTGGAATCATAAGCAGAAAAGACACACAATCTTGACTAAGAACAACTAGTTGAAAACAAAAATGTAGTACAAAAGTAAAAGAACTGTACGAATATCACATACTGATAAAGAAACCTTTTAATTATGTTCATAGTACAGTTTCAAAAGCAAGATACTTAATTAAATTAGAAGAATCAAATTAACTTTAACCAACCAGAAGCATAATTAAGCAGCAAACCCAAGATTATTTAAATTATCCGTGACTTTTTTCACTTTGTACATAAAGACAGAACACACCTTTTTCTCATAGAATTGAATTTTCTTTATCTATCTTTTTCTTTGTTTCTTCAATGGCTTCTCTGCATCTGGACTTTAAGCTTTGGGAGTGGTTGTACTTCAAAACACATACACAAAATTAACCATTAAACAAATACAGAACCAAAATCCCACACGAAGGAAGCTTACAGAAATACAGAAATTTAAACAAAAACACAAAAAATCAACCCACGAGCAACGAACCCAGAAATTTAAACAAAAACACAAAACCAACCCAGAAATTTAAACAAAAACAAATTAAAAAAGCTGCTAAAAATTAAGCCTTCAACAGGAGAATATAATCAAGTTTAGACCCACTTTCAAGATTGATATACCCAATTGATTAATTCATGAATGAGGCCCAAAATCAATACCCACATGAGTTAAGAAACTTTTGCAATAAGAGTATATTTACCGATTTTCAGATTTGGAGAAACTCTAAAGGATTAGCATGCCGTCTCTGGTGCAGCCGATTATGGAGGAGTTGTTGAGCCTGGAAGAGATTGTCGAACGTCTCCTCGTAATTTCCGAAAGCATAGAGGTGTTGAGCCTGGAGGAAAATGTTAAAGATTGTGACTTGTACGCTAAAATTAGGGGTTTACATATTTGGTATTTTATTAGATATAAAAACTAAAAACTAAAAATTGAAAATCAGATTGTGGGCCCCTTTCATTTTAGCGGGTATAAAAAATTTGGGTGAAAAATAAGGAGGAAATTAATGACCGTCGCGATAGTAAAAATAATTTATCCAACCGTTACCGTAGATAGATTTATTGCTACGGTTATACAAAACGTTGCCATATATATCTCTATCGGAATGGTTTTAAGATTGTTGCAATGGTTCAGTTGCTAAGTGTCCCGGTAATTCTAATAATTATTTGTACCGGTTAAAACCGTAACAATACACCATCTATAGCAACGGTTACTTATCCGTGCCAATAAAAAACGTTTCCATAGCTCCAATTCCCGAAGTCAGTTTGAATTTTCTAAAAATATTGTGACGATCCTATGACAAACCAAAGAGAATTTCACTTTAGATTCAAAATATCCATATATAGTTTTACTTCTAAAGCAAAGCACAACCTGACAATTAGACAATAAAAATTACAGAATAATTGTATCAATTTATTCCATTATTCTTGGCAGGCTACATCACAGCAAAAAATGCAAACACAAGTTCGAGCATTTAAGCAATTCCCTGCCATAAATGGTCCTCTAATACCAGGAGGTGAAGGCTTTCCGTCGAAGTGGTCAAAGCATGTGTTGTGGCAGTATGAATCTTCACAAGGTGTGGGAATTGGTGCTGGAAGTTGAATTGGACATTCTTGTGCTCCAAGGCTCGTCTTAGTGTCTTCATTTGTTTGGACATAAAAGAAAATGAAAAATAAAAACATTGCGACGATAGGAAAAAAAATAAAGACTTAATCTAAATAACTGACTACCCAATTACTTAAACTAAAAATAGCTGACGGATATATAATGTAATGTATATCGATTATGAAAAATAAATAATGAATCTTACTGGCTATTTGTGTAAAAATACCTAAAACAGTTAGCAACTATTCGATGACCATGAAGTTAGTACATGAGTTTTACATATTCCCAAACGATGACATGTTCTATATACTCATTTTTGTCCATTATTTTTTTGTTGCCTTATAATCAAGATAAATGGCTGTAGCACGATTTCCCTAAACACAGAATTGAGTCAATGTTTCTCCTGCATGTAAAAAGATTATAATAGAATCCTCTCTCTTTGGACATTCTCACTTTATTTATTAACAGGTTGTAGAATACTTCTCATTACAATTATCCAAAAACAATTCGTCTAGTTATAGATCCATAAATGCTATAAATTAATTTACTACTTTTAAGGTATTCATAATATTTTCATAAATTAAAAAGATTAGATAGATTAAGATGCAACTTACGTAGAATAATGAAGAGGGAAAACATCAAGAAAGCCATGCATGTGAAGCTCTTCATGATTCCTTATTAGTACCACAAGAAGTTCAATAATCAAAATTGTATCTATGGGCTTTTGATGTTGGGATTAAGGTTTTGCGAACAATATATAGAAATAATTGAGCAACAAATATGGAAAGAGAGGTAACTAAAAGGGGTAAAACTATGGCAACATATTAATCTCAAAATAAGTGAAATCATTAAGTTTCCAAGATTATTAATAAAAAGAAGTAAATTGCAACAGTCTTAATTATTCTTATACTAAATTAGGGATATACATGAATTATGGCTACTTAAAATGACTTGATTGAGATCAACTCCCATTTGGAAATAAAATTATATCGGTTTGGTCGAGTTTTAGTAAAGTCAAAACCAAACCAATCTATTTAATTTTAAAATTATTAAAATAAAACCAACTCAAACCGAATATAATACACATTTGTTGGTTTATTTTTTGTCAGTTTAGGTCGATTTTCTATTTTTGACAAACCTATTGGTATTTCTCTCTTCTTCCTTTTATCCTGCAACCAGAAAAAAAAAAATACCCTCCTTTGGTAACTTAATGTAATGACCCGACCAATCTTTTTGAGTTTTAGAATCTCATTTCCATATTTGATTCTTTTCGAAGGTTGCTTTGATATTCTATGACTTGCGGGTATGAATGCTTCAGTTTCCGAGGAGTTCGGGAGTAATTTGAAATACTTAGTTCCTACTAGAGGCTTAAGGTTGGAAGCGCTGACCAAAGTCAACATTATGGGTGAACGACCCCATTTTGGTGATTGAAAGATTTCATTAGGTTCATATGATAATTTTGGATTTATATGTATATTCGGTTCGAATCTCCGATGGCCCGGGATTGATTCAGCACTTCTAGTCGAAAGTTGAAATTTTAAACTCAAGAGAGTTTGAGATTTTTGGTTTGATACTTGATATTTGGTTTTGATATTGTTTTAGTATTTCGAGACCTTGAAAAAATTAGTATAGGGTGTACTAACTTGTCAGGATAATTATATGGGGTCTCGGGGGCTCGAGTGAGTTTTAGAGTAATTTCGAATCATTTTGAGCTAAGTTAGAATAGCTAGTTTGCTAGTGTATTGTAGTTAATCGAGATCATGGAGTTAAGTCTCCCGATCCCGTAAAAGGAATTGGACCGAGGGAGGTTGTCACGACCCAAAAACCACATAGTCGTGATGGCACCTAACCTTAATGCTAGGTAAGCGAAACAGAGAACTGTGATGACCCAAAAAGTCATCTTATGTTTTAGAACTCGAATCTGCGCTCTTAAGCCTTAAAAATCTTATTTTTACCCTCCGCAATTTGCGTGCGCAGTCTGGACATGTTTTCAAAAAGCTTTATGTTGAAAATTGATGAAAACAAGAATTTATACCTTAAACAGTTGATTTTATGCCTTAAAAAGTTGATTTTATTTTCCTTCGGTCAATATTTTTGGTAAACGGGTCCGGATCCATATTTTGACGGTACCGGTGGTTCCGTATCAAATTATGGGACTTGGGCGTATGTCCGAAATCGAATTCCGAGGTCCATAGCCCGAGAAATAAATTTTTGACTAAAATTAAATTTCAGAAAATTAATGGTTTTAAAGTATATGCTTAATGCTTGATTTTGATGGTATCGGGCCCGTATTTTAGTTCCGCAGCCCGGTACAGATCCGTTATAATATCTGAACTATGTTTGTAAAATTTGGTGAGAAACGGAGTTTAAATGATGTGATTCAGACCTACGGTTGAGAAAATAGTAACTTTAAGTGTTCTTGAGAATTTTATTGATTTTGATGCTAAATCCGTAGTTTTAGGTGTTAATTTGGCGATTTGATCGCACGAGCAAGTTCGTATGATGTTATTAGATTTGTGCGCATGCTTGGTTTGGAGCCCCGAAGGTTCAGGTGAGTTTCGGATAGGCTACGGGGTGATTTGCACTTAAAACATCTGAGCTTTTGTTGCAACGACTGTTCTGGTGTGCCCTTCTTCGTGTTTGCGTAGGTAGTGTCGCGAACGCGAAAGGTAAAATGGGGGCAGGGAAATTTTCTCCTTCGCGAACGCGAAGCATTGGGGGGTGGTACCCTTCGCGAACGCGATCAGTCTCCCGCGAACGCGTAGTTTGAGTGACCTGGGAGAGGGGGTCATGTTCTTCTACGCGAACGCGTCCATTAGGTCGCGAAAGTGAAGGCTTGGGGAGAGCTGCCTTATGCGAATACATAGAAAGACTCGCGAATGCGAAGGCCTTAGACCGCTGTGCATCGCGATCGCGACAGGCCTCTCGCGAATGCGATGAAGGCCTTTCCAGTGTTTTAAAACAGACTTCAAAGACGGGATTTGTTCAAAATTTCACATTTTCTTCATTTGAACTCAACCTTGGGCGATTTTTGAAGTGGAAATTCAACATCAAATCATAGGTTCGTATTCTTAAACTCATTCCTTTCAATTTTCATCAACACCCACTAGATTTCTAGGCCTAAAGCTTGTTCTTTAAGGGTAGAAATTAGGGATTTTACGAGAATTGGGGATTTTATAAATTTGGAAATTTAGACCTCGATTTGGAGTCGGATTCCGGAACTAATGACATATTCGGGCTCGGGGGTGAATGGGTAAACGGAGTTTGGTCCGAACCTCGAGTTTGGACCAAGCGGTCCCGGGGTTGGTTTTTGACTTTTTTTGGAAAAATTTGGAAAATCTGTAATTATTCATTAAAGTTGATTCCTTTAGCGATAATTGATGGTATTAAGCTATTTGTGACTAGATACGAGTGAGTTGGAGGTTAATTCTAAGGGAAAAGCGGTACTTGAGCAGTGAATGGCCTGCGAATCGAGGTAAGTATCGTGTCTAACTTTGGCTTGAGGGAATAGGTAATATGTGTTTATTTGCTACGTGTTTGGTTGTTAAATACGATGTATAGATGAGGTGACGAGCATCTATGCATTGCTGTCGAGTCATAGCATGCGAGTGAAATCCTATTCTTTGTAAATTTTGTAGCCTTTAATCCTACTATCCATGCTTAGCGTTGTTATTTGAAATGTTGGGTGACTTATGTCTGGTTTCATCGAGATTTAGTAATTTTGAATATTGGTTCAAGGTTGAGGTCTACATTGTGATATTACACATTGCTAAGATACTGGCTTCTTTGTAAAACTTCTGTTTATCCGTTGTTATTGATTCTGTAATTTGTGAGGAGGAGTGTAAAACATGAAGGGTGATGCCGTGCATGCATTATTTATATTGTGAGGAAGAGTGAAAAGCACGAAGGGTGATGTCGTGCCATGATATGTGAGTGTTAATGAACGAAGGGTGATGTCGTGCCATGATTTATGAGTGATAAAGCATGAAGGGTGATGTCGTGCATAATATGAGAGGTTTAATGCATGAAGGGTGATGCCGTGCCGTTCTATTTATCATTTGGTGAGGTTGAGAGTAAAAGCACGAAGGGTGATACCGTGCAGTTTTATTTATTATTTGATGAGGTTGAGAGTAAAAGCACGAAGGGTGATGCCGTGCAGTTTTCCTTACTGTTTTAATTGCTTAATTTGTTTACGGATTACTGTTTAATTCTGTCTTTTCGTTATTCTCACTCCTTATATTGAAATCCCCCACTATATGT